ACTTCACTTTGACGACGATTTCATTTTGACTTAATAGATTTTCACTGACTGACTTAGACACTGGCTTCACCTTAACTTCAATGAGTTCACTTTGTCTTCAACGAGTTCATTTTCTTGACTGACTTAACTGACTTCAAATGACTTCTTTGACTTCAGTTCTGACAATATTTACTTCACTGGCTTCATATAACTTAATTGACTTCAATACTGACTTCACCTAACTTCTTACTGTATCGACTTCACGCCGATTTTTCGATCTTAGATTAAAAATATTACTGGATTATTCGACTTGACTTACATTATTCCTTTTATGTCCGTTATTCAAAATCGTTCGACGGGGCGGTCCGGGTAAATTCTTGGTTGTAATAGGGTTGGTGTTTTAGGGCAGTTGCGTGTTTTTATTTTTCTGTACTTTCAGTTTCCCTAGTTCTATTACTATTTCTGCTTTTGCTCTAACATCTCTTTCTATTTGTGCTCTAACCTACTCTCTACAAATACTTCTAATTTTTCGCCCGTTTTGTCCAATGTTTTGCCCTGATTATAGTATTATACTCTGTCTCCATATTTGTGTATGTGTGAAGTAGTGAGGAATGTTAAAAAAAACTAAAGGCAAACCGGGCAAACAATAGAAACGAATAATGCAGAAAACCTGTGGTACAAGCTATCCAGGACAGGTCTAAACCAAACGTTTAAAAAAATGAAGGAATGTACAAATATTTTAATTTGTATTCTGACAAGTTGAAATTTCACTGTGTTAGTAATCCACCGAAATCCTTCTAGGATTAAGAAACCGCTGCTGTGTAGATTGTTTGGGAATAAGATATCTGGCTAGTACAACAATATCAAAAACCTGTCTAGTACAACAGGATCAAATATCTGGCTAGTTTAACATCAGATATCTTTCTAGTACAAAAGTATCAAATACCTGGCTAGTACATCAGTATCAGATAACTGGCTAGTACAACAGCATCAAATATCTGGCTACTACATCATTACCAGATATCTGGCTATTAAAATAGTATCAGATATCTGTTTAGTACAGCAATATCATATATCTGGATAGTGAAACAGTATCAGGTATCTTTTAGACCAGATATCTGATATTGTTGTACTAAACAGATATCTGATACTATTTTACTAGCCAGATATTTGGTAATGATGTACTAGCCAGATAATATGTCTAGTACAACAGTGTCAGATATCCGTCTAGTTTAACATCAGATATCTGGCAAGTACATTATCGGATATCTGGCTAATACAATAGTATCAGATATCTATGTAGTACAAATGCATCAGATATTTAGCTAGTGCAGCAGTATCAGATATATGGCTAGTACGTGTATCGAAGCATAAAACGACGTTTGATATCTGTGGCTCGATCAATTATGCTGGCTGATGAAAGAAACTTAAAGATATTTGGCTAGTAGAACAACATCAGATATCCAGTTAGTACAACAGTATTTGATATCTGGCTAGCATAAGATTATCAGCTGTTTGGCTAGTACATCATCAAATATCTGGCTAGTACAACTACATCAGATATCTGGCTAGTACGTGTATCGAATCATAAAACGACGTTTGATATCTGTGGCTCGATCTATTACGCTGGTTGATAAAAGAAACTTAAAACTGAAACAAATCTATTTTTAGCTTTCGGAATATTTCTTTACCTGAAAATCTAAAACCAAAACCTATACTATAATATGGGCACGGCATAGCTCAACTCGCTTAGTTTCCGTGAATTACTTAAAAACGCACACATTTAATTGTATAATCCTAATCACGTGACTAAACCGGATGTTGCAAGAGCCAGGCAATTCTCGTTATAAGGCGGGGGCGGACGGGGCGGAAGGGGGGGGGGCGGACACTGTTAAAAGTATATATTTTCTATATGAATTTCATTTCGTTCGGGAGGGCGGTAGACATTTTTCCGCCCCCCCCCCCCCCCCCGAAGAGATGCCTGGAAGAAACTCTGAAAACGACGTTTGATATCTGTGGCTCGATCTATAATGCTGGCTCATAAAAGAAACTTAAAACTGAAACTAACTTATTTCCAGCTACAGGGAACATTTCTCTACCCAAAAATCTAAAAAAAAAACCATACAATAAGGGCGCGGCATAACTCAGGTAGCTTTGTTTCCGTGATCTACTTAAAAGCGATTAAATTTGTTTTTGGAAACCAAATCACGTGACTAAATCGGTTTTTGCAAGAGCCAGGCCATTCTCGTTACAGGCGTAACCGGGCTTTTGTACAAAGGGTACAGTACAGTATAGGAGAAGCGTTAACTTACACAAAATAATAAAACTATGTCTCGTGCTCTATTGTCAAACATCAGTTGTATTCAGATAATTAATGTATCAGCAGCGTAAATAAACTCTTTGGGAGTTCCTCGAAAACGATGGCTTTTTACAAAGGATAGAACCCCACAGTGAACATTATAAAAGAAACAGTCAAATCATAGCAAGGTCACGTAAAAACTGACAAAAAAATGTAAAGAGGCTGAGGAAAAGTTGCAGCCTACAGTACATCACAGCTAGGTACGGTGAAGTTCTCATGCAACATTCTGGACTTTAATTGATTGTATTTAGTTTGTGATGTTGCGGACACTAACACTTTTTTTATACTAACAAAACGTCAGACGGGTGGTATTGACAACGCACTATATATATATTATCCTTCTTGTGCTGAAATGGTTAGTTTTGATACTTCAGGGTGTGTGCGTCAGGTGACGTTGTAAGTATAGATAAACTTAGTTTTTATAAAGTGAATGAATTTCGTAGCAACGTAGCCCCCTCCGTATTTCTGTCAAGACACTGTGTCACTCCCCATATTTCTGTCAAGACATTGTACCACTCCCCATATTTCTGTCAAGACATTGTACCACTCTCTATATATCTGTAAAAACAATGTTAGTTCTAGCTGCTTCAAACCATCAATTTTGAAATGTGGCTTTGAGAAAGTATTTGTAGGGTTCAATGAGCCTAGCCAAAGCTGTTGCTAGTAACGTTTGTTACAAGCTTTATAATAACAAAGTCAATTTGATAATGGTCATTCTAATGTACATACACAACTCCACGACTAGGACCAGAGGACGAGTGAAGACAATACCACCAATGTTTCGATCAGTCAGGTGGTAAATGATGTGAGACGCATCCTATATAGGTGTTACAGAAAACTTTAGGTGCAGGAGTAGAATAGTATCAGATATCTGCCTAGTACAACAGACAGCATACGATATCTGGCTAGTACAACAGACAGCATACGATATCTGGCTAGTACAACGTCACCAGATATCTGGCTAGTACAACAGACAGCATACGATATCTGGCTAGTACAACGTCACCAGATATCTGGCTAGTACAATAGTATCATATATCTGGCTAGTACAACAGACAGCATACGATATCTGGCTAGTACAACAGACAGCATACGATATCTGGCTAGTACAACAGACAGCATACGATATCTGCCTAGTACAACAGACAGCATACGATATCTGCCTAGTACAACAGACAGCATACGATATCTGGCTAGTACAACAGACAGCATACGATATCTGCCTAGTACAACAGACAGCATACGATATCTGGCTAGTACAACAGACAGCATACGATATCTGCCTAGTACAACAGACAGCATATGATATCTGGCTAGTACAACGTCACCATATATCTGGCTAATACAACATCATCAGATATCTGGCTAATACAACATCATCAGATATCTGGCTAGTACAACGTCATCAGATATCTGGCTAGTACAACAGACATCATCAGATATCTGGCTAATACAACATCATCAGATATCTGGCTAATACAACATCATCAGATATCTGGCTAGTACAACGTCATCAGATATCTGGGTAGTACAACGTCATCAGATATCTGGGTAGTACTTGTATCGGAGTATAGAACGACGTTTGATATCTGTGGCCCGATCTATTGTGCTGGCTGATAAAAGAAACTTTAAATTGCGCATAACAGAAACTTAAAATTGAAAGTAATCTATTTCCACTTTCCGGGAATATTATTTTACCTGAAAATCCATGAATTAATTAAAACCCTTTACAGCCCCATCTATTGTGTATAGATATAAATAGATACATTTCAACGATGAATATATTATGACGTCACATGTTTTCCACCAATCGTGTTAAGCCAACAATAGCAGATCCCAAACCTCAGGTTTATAAAGGAATAATTTGGTTGATTTCGGACGTTAAAGCTTTGGGCTGCTGTTAACATCGGGTTCATTGTCCTAGAAACTGACACGGTAACTTACAAGGTAAGGACACATTCTGTAGAGAGCTGTACATTTGTATAGAGAGATAAGACAGAGTTTCTTTTAGATATAATTAAATCCTATTTAAATTGGTAATACTACTTGTTAAATTATTGTTTTTAATAGATGATTTAAAATAAAGCTTATGTATACATTTTGAAAACTTTAGAGGTATTATTCTTTGATTCTTTGTTGCGACACTATAGGACATACATGCAAATGAAATCTATACGTTTTTTTTACTCTTTTATTAAATATGTTTTTTTTTGAAAAACCTAATATAGAATGTGAAAGGCTAGTTTTTAAAATAAATTCGAAGGCCTACTTTGGTGTTTGGTTTTTGTATTCTATTCGACATGACACATTATTAGAAACCCGATCAGCAGCTTTGATTTGAAGAGACAATTATCGGCCCAATCTTAGTCCCTGGTTGCTAACATGCATCTACCGATTATGTTTTACCCCCATCCCCCACATTTAAATAGTGATTGTACAACAGACCCCTTCAAAAATATGTTTATTATACTGATTTGCGTTACTAATTTTATTTGGCATCAAGTTTAACAGATGGAATCGCAGCTTTTCAATTATACAACAAATATAAAAAATTGTACAAATAAATATAGTATTATATCATAATTTTAAAAGGTTTAGAATATGTTTTGCTTTTTTTTTTAAAGAAGAAAGCAGAAATTTAATTTTTTTTTTTAATTTTTAGATGACATCGTGCGTGTACCAACTGGTGTGTGCTGTCTGTGTGCTGATGTCTGGTCTGACGCAGACATCGGCAGACTTTAGTACAGAGCGACGGAGAGTGTCTAAGGCTTGCAGCAAAACTTTAGACAAATGTGTCAACATGGCTGTCAACCTGGGTGGAAGTCCAACACCTTCAAATGACGCTGGTTGGTGCGCTCTGTTTGGGGCTACAGTCAATGGTGTCACCGCCAACCAGTGTGTTGTAAGGATCGGACTTTGTACAGACGAGGAGTTTGTGGCTCTCAAAAATGGAGCCTGTGGTCAGACGGCTACTGCCAAGCAAACGTCTAGTGCTCTAAAGACCTCTGTGTATAATGTGGTACAATCGACAAGCTCAGAATGCCAGGCTCGACTAGTTGATTGTATTTTCAGGTCCAGTGTGGCCACAGTTTTAAAACAACAAGAGCAGTACTGTAAACTGATGAACCTTGGGATCACCGGCAAGACCACCACGACATGTCTAACCTTGGCCTGCTTAGATGAAGAAATAAACAACCTGAAAACAACCGCCTGCTCGACAAACCAATCCCAACCATTTTCTGACGCCATCGTGGCAACTTCTCAGATGTGTCAAGATGGTATGGAGTCATGCACCTCTGGCAGCAACGAGGCGTTCGCTTTGATCCAAGGCGAGAAGTACTGTGACGTCATGAGTCTGACAGTGAAAACCACAGCTCACGACTGCCTGATAGCGAAAGGCTGCGCGGAGACTGAGTTTCAGAAGGTGAAGGCAGCCTGCAGCGGTTCTACTATTGTAGCATCTTTTATTATGTTAGCACTTGCTACACTGTATCAGCTTTTTTTAGCCTGAATGTTTGAGTAGTAGAGTTTCCATTGTGATGTAAAATCACAACAAGTTTGTGTAAAAATAAATCTTTAATATAAATGTTTCAATAGAAAATTAGAGTGACTTCTAAATCACAATAAATAAGTGTCAAAAGAACAAGTTTTGTTGAATTTTTCTTAAATTTTGATGTTTTAGAAAAAGATTTTAGTTAGATATAAAATGTTTAAAGTGATCATTAAAATAATTACGTCGCATTTATTTTCGTTACGCTTCTTGAGCAAAGGTGCAAAAGGTGGAAAAAAATACGAGAAGCTGAAAATATATGACTCAATAAGGTTTATGAAAAAGTCTAAAATGCGAATCCAAGATTGGAATGAGTGGCCGGGGGAAACGTGTGGTAGGGTGCGGGGGGGGGGGGGGTCACCAATAAATGTCGTCGATGAGACGATTTTACCTACGCCCCTCCCCTCCGTCACACATCGTCACAAAAGGCCTGACCCCTCCCCTTAAAATGACGTCAAACCTCATCCTACAACCCCCCTAAAAATTGCAGTTGAATTTTCCTTAAAACATCAAAATGTTTCAAACATTATGTCTGAACTCTATTAACATATTTTAATCAATTTCTATTACATTTTATTAAAACAGTTTTCTAAAACGCGAAATAACAACTAAAATTCTTTTTCTTTCATTTTTTTTTATAATGCAAAAGTCTGACGTCAAATCATCTGAACAATCCCCTACCCCTCGTCACACACCGTGACAAAATTACGGACTCTCCCCCCTACGAGTGTGACGTTATTTATGGACGACCCCTACATGGGTAGAGTACTCGACCGCTAATCCACAAGTTCTATGTTTGCATCCCGTGGTAAGGTCCATAATAGGTCCCTGACTCCCAGCTCCGACGGGTACCCTACTCACATGTTAGGTCCCAGCTCTGACGGGTACCCTACTCACATATTAGGTCCCTGATTCCCATCTCTGACGGGTACCTTCTCACATATTAGGCCTCTTACTCCCAGCTCCGACGGGTACCCTACTCACATATTAGGTCCCTGATTCCCAGCTCTGACGGGTACCCTACTCACATATTAGGTCTCTTACTCCCAGCTCTGATGGGTACCCTACTCACATATTAGGTCCAGGACCCCAGCTCTGATGGGTACCCTACTCACAGATTAGGTCCCTGACTCCCAGCTCTGACGCATACGCTATGATATACGTTGATTAGACTCTTCCTTTATATACCGAGGTCACAGGATTAGTTGGATACTGTAACTTCAATCGCTCCATACACAGCTGAAAATATGTTTTTAAATACTGCACATTCTTCACTACCACAATACTTATTTGCAATTTATTAATAAACTTGGACAGAGTGAGAAATAGTAAAAAACTTCAAGTAGCACACATACCGAAACAGTACAAACTGTGCTACAATGCATAATTTGTGTGTTTGTACCAACTTGTTTTATTCTTGTCTCTACACTTCGATCTATACAATGGAATGAATTTTTAAAAATTTCTGTTGTTTCGGGTTTGTTTCTATTTGGTAATTATGCTATGTTTTTCATACTTAAATAAATAATAAGCAGTAACATTATTTCTTATCAACAAGCATAGATGAAACTATACAGAAATACAGCACAAAAGTAACAGCTGAACAAGAGGAAAAAAAACAACTTCTGGCTTACATGACTTTATTGATTTTAAATATGATTGTAGGATTTTTATGTTAGGTACATTGCTCCCATTTAATAAAATTGCAAATTTAATATAGCAAAATATAGCAGACCCAAAAAAAAAAAACAACCACACAGTGTTAACATCACAAAGTGTAGAGTACAAGTACATTACAGAAGGGAGTGGACTTATGACAAGACTCTAAACAGTAGAGGATAAGCTTTGTGGGTAGGGTAAGATCTTACCCCTAATTTAACACGCTAAGTTTGTGTATGTGTGAAACTGATAGGTTTGACATATATAAAATAAAGTAGACGACTTCGATCCTACTTGTAGCCTCATATTTAGAGTTATAAATGAAGCATGATAAATTAGAGTTACCCTGTTTCTGTGACATCGGCTTTTGAATGGATAATGTGGTCATATGCTCTACAATTCGACCACCCCGTCCGATTATGCACCAGTAGATCGTGGTAAATAATATGTAATTATGTTTCATTATTGATAGCACTATCATAGTTGACATAAAATTTAGGGCCCGATATGTACTGCATGTAGGTAACAAAAAACTGAAATTATTCCAGGAATTTTTTTAACCTGAAAAAAAATCATAGCCATGGTTTACAGGTATGAGCGCGGCATGGCTCACCTCGTGTTGTTTCCGTGAACTCATTTGATCCACTTGCATTTGTTTCGACAATTGAAAGCAAACACTTGTTGATTTTGGAAACCTGATCAAGTGACTACAGGGCTGTTTGATGCTGACACTCATGTCAAACAGAACTTGATATTGTAGGTTTTCTCTCACAGGTTTATCAGCTACAACAGGACTGTGCACAAAACATTCACACAAATGGTACACAGATCACCAAGTTTATTTTTTCAACTTTAAATGCTGAAATAATTGTATTATCCAACCAAAGAAAAGACAAGTTTATACTACAAATAATTTGTTTATGTGTTAAAGAAAAAATCCTGTTCATTTGTGTCACTTGATCGAATGACGAAATCTGCATCTTTGTTAACAAGATGCTATTTGGCACTCTGGGTTTTCCTATGAGCACGATGGCGCCTTTTAGTTTAACGAGCCAGGGACCGTACGCTGCGCCCATGCAGTAGTGTAATCGGGGGGGGGGGGGGGGGGGGGGGCTCCTGAGAGCGCCCCTCTACTTCCCTGACACATGGGCGGTCACCGAAGTCCGTTCTACCTCATTATTTCGGTGAGTGATTAATGTACACTAAAGGTTTTAATGCGGTAGTGTAGTAAACCCGTTACCCGATATTTATGATCCAAGCGCAGGCATTGTAAACATTTAAATAACTCACTTTTAGAAAACAAGGTCACGAATCTAAGAAAATAGGATTGGTAACGCATTGATGAAACCCGTCTTATATATTACGTCAGACTTACGTCTATCCCCGCCGCAACGCGCGGGGACAGGTACGCTAGTTTTTCAATTAAAAAAAGAAAGCAGTAAAATTCTTTCTTACCAACAAGTACAGAGTAAACTATTTCGTCAGAAATAAAGTAACAGGTGAACATGAGAAAGAAATCAAATAAAGCGGGAGTGATCTCCCCTTAACTTTCTCGAATATTCTTATATAACACTACGGGGGATGGGAACTCGGATTATAGATATGATTTTTAATCAATTTTTTAAATACTTCAACTTTTAAAACTATAATAGCATCTTGTATAAAAAATGAATTGCTCAGCAAGTGAACAGCAAACAATGGTTGTATAATAGCGCGGAATATTAGTACTTTATAGATTCACATGCTTTTTTTTTAGAAATCGGAAATAGTGTAAAGTACTACTTCCGGTCACCGCAAAATACGTAAAATTGATAGCCATGAGAATTAGATCTTTTATTTATTTGTGAAACTTTAATCATCTACCTGAAACATTACTCAAGTTATAGGCTTTTGAAAAACCAATAGCAGATTAAATTCCACTTCTGGTTACAATATATGTAATATATATAATTTAATCAACCTAGCTTTAACGGTATCCACGTTAATCTGTTCACAGACACACTTACATACACACACACGGGCGGTATTGCAAAGCCCAGTTTTTCCGACTCGATTACGCGTAAAACGAACAGATTTTGATATATCTGGATTTAGAATAATATTTATCCCCATTAAAGTAAGTCTTCTATACTCCATATAGATTCTATACTCCGTATAGAATGAAGTAATGAGGTAAACCGGTAAAAACTCAGTATTTTATGCGATTATTGTGCTCGATTACAATACTTCCTCTATATTAGAAAGTATAAACAACTTCTGACTTACATACTTTATATGATTGTTAATATTTACGTATGTACAATGTAAGGTACATTGTTTCATTTAATTAAATTGCTAATTAAATATAGCAAAATATAGCAGACCCCAAAAAAAAAAAACCAAAAAAAAATACCACATAGTGTTAACATCACAAAGTGTTGAGTACAAGTACATTACAAAAGGGTGTGGACATACGAGAAGAATCGAAACAGTAGAGAGGGGTCGGCGTGGTCGAGTCGGTAAAGCTCATGGTTGCTAAACCGAAAAGTCTCGAGTTCGAACCCCCGGGCAGATGAGGCTCGTTAGCTGGGGACAGCCACTCTTCTAGGAGAGACAACTCCAAAATTAAACAACTGCTGCCTTGTAGTTTGTTCTTGGTTGGACAAAGGCTATGGAAGCAAATCCAAAAAGAAAAGCAGGCTGAAATCGGAGTCAATGGCCTCAATGGCGCATAACCAGTTGACACGTAACGCTTAATTGTGTTGGAGGCGTGGTCGAGTCGGCAAAAAGGGTTGATAAATTTGAACAAAGTCTCGAGTTCAAACGCACTAGCAGATAATTCTCGATCCCCTTCAACACTAATAATTAAGAACGAAGAAGAAGAAGAAGAAACAGTAGGGTAAGATCTTACCCCTAACTTAACACGCTAAGTTTGTGTATGTGTGAAACTTATAGGTGTGACATACGCAAAACATCCTAGACGAATTTGATCCTACTTGTAGCCTCTCTATTTACAGTTATAAACTAATAATTTCCAGTCGAAGGCTCATCATGATGTTGAGTTACCCTGTTTCTGTGACCTCGGCATTTGAAGGTATAGTGTGGTGGTATGCTATACCGTCCCATTATATACCAGTGTACCAACATTAATAATTTGTATTTGTGTTTTATTATAACCACCACTATAATCATTGTTCACATAAAATTTGGCGCCCATATGTACTGCAGGTAAACCATAGAAAACCAAAACTGAAACTATTGGAACTTCAAGGAATTTGAAGTATTTTGAAGCAAGTGTAGAGTACAGTATATTAAAATTCACACTACAGAATAAAAATGTTTCTTGCATTTTCGCTAAAATGACCAATTTCAGAACATCAGCGTAAAGAGATGAACTATGTGAAAAAACTTCGAAACTGAAATCATACACAAAAGGTAGTCAGCCTCATCGGAAATTTTATATTAGAAACAGTGAAATCATTGCTTACTTTCAGTCCAAACAAAAGGAAATGATAACTTG